AGGTGAAGTGTCAGCAATTGACCATTAAGTGGCTCAATCAATTGACCATTAAGTAATAATTTTTTTTTCGTCAATTCAATGTGGCTCAATCAATTGACCATTAAGTAATAATTTTTGTTGAAAGTTTTAAATTTATATTTGTATCAACAATCATATGTTTGATTTTATTGAATTTTTTTAATTAACAATATATGAATAATTGGAGATAATCAACGAAGTTCAATTTTATTCCCAATAATTCATTGGGTTAAATTAGTAGTAAATCACGAAAGTTATATTCAGTAATTTATGCCAACAAACCTACCTAACGAACACTAAGCGACTCGTTTTTCGGGTAAATGATGTTGTCCGTTGACCAAATTACCCAACGAACTCCATGATTTCCTCAACAAACACGGTATTTTACTTCGAGGACGCAAGGGGTGCGCTTGTTGAGTAAAGTTAGTTGTTCCTCGGGAAATTGGACCAACTAAAATATTTTATCAAACAAACACGCTATTTTTCACGCGAACGCAAGGGGTGCGTTCATTGAATAAAGTTGGCCGTTCCCCTGGAAATTGGACCCAACTAACTTAACTTTTCAAACAAATGGGCTATTTGTTCACGCGAATGTAGGGATTGTGTTTGGTGAGTAAAGTTGCCCGTTCCATGGAAATATGGGCCCAACTAACTTACTTTTTCAAACAAATGGGCTATTTGTTCACACAAACGCAGGGGTTGCGTTCGTTAAGCAAAGTTACCCGTTCTTCGAAAAAATAGACCCAACTAACTTACCTTTTCAAACAAATGGGCTATTTGTTCATGCGAACGCAGGGGTTATGTTCGTTGAGTAAAGTTGCCCGTTCTCCAAAAAAAATGGGCTCAGTTAACTTACTTTTTCAAACAAACGGGCTATTTGTTCATGCGAAGCAAGGGGTTGCATTCCTTGAGTAAAGTTGCCCATTCCCCGAAAAAATGAGCCCAACTAATTTAGTTTTTCGAACAAACGGGCTATTTGTTCACGCAAACGCAGGGGTTGCGTTCGTTGAGTAAAGTTTCTTGTTCCCCGGAAAAATAGACCCAACTAATTTACTTTTTCAAACAAACGGGCTATTTGTTCACGCGAACGCAAGGGTTGCGTTAGTAGAGTAAAGTTGCTTGTTCTTCAGAAAAATGGGCCCAATTAACTTACTTTTTCAAACAAACGGGCTATTTGTTCATGCAATCACAATGGTTTGCGTTCGTTGAGTAAAGTTGCCCGTTCCCCGAAAAAATATACCCAACTAACTTACTTTTTCACACAAACGGGCTATTTGTTCACGTGAACATAGAGATTACGTTTGTTGAGTAAAGTTGCTCGCTCCTCGGAAAAATGGGCCTAATTAACTTACTTTTTCAAACAAATGGGTTATTTGTTCACGCGAACGCAATAGGTTGCATTCGTTGAGTAAAGTTGCTTGTTCCCCAGAAAAATGGGTCCAACTAATTTACGTTTTCAAATAAACGGGCTATTTGTTCATCCGAACGCAAATGTTACGTTCATTGAGTAAAATTGCTCGTTCATCAGAAAAATTGGCCCAACTAACTTACTTTTTCAAACAAACAGACTATTTATTCATACGAACGCAATGGTTTCCGTTTGTTGAGTAAAGTTACCCGTTCTCCGAAAAAATGGGCCCAACTAACTTACTTTTTCAAACAAACAGGCTATTTGTTCACGCGAACGCAGGGGTTGCGTTCGTTGAGAAAAGTTGCATATTCCCCGAAAAAATTTGTCAAATTAACTTACTTTTTCAAACAAATTGACTATTTGTTCATGCGAACGCAATGGTTTGCGTTCGTTGAGTAAAGTTGCCCGTTCTTCTGAAAAATGGGCCCAACTAACTTACTTTTTCAAACAAACGGGCTATTTGTTCACGCGAACGCAGGGGTTGTCTTCTTTGAGGAAAGTTGCATGTTCCTCGAAAAAATGTGCCCAACTAGATTACTTTTTCAAACAAATGGGCTATTTGTTCACGCGAACGAATGGGTTACTTTCGTTGAGTGAAGTTGCCTGTTCCCCGTTAAAATGGACCCCATTAACTTACTTTTTCAAATAAACGAGATATTTATTCACGCGAACACAAGAGGTGCGTTCGTTGAGTAAAGTTACCCATTCCCCGGGAAAATGGATCACACTAACTTACTTTTTCAAACAAACAGGCTATTTTTTCAGGCGAATGCAGGGAGTGCGTTCGTTGAGTAAAGTTCGTTGTTCCCTGAGAAATTGGACCAAGTAAAATACTTTATCAAACAAACGCACTATTTTTTTTTAATGCAAACGTAGGGGTTGTTTGGTAAGAAAAAGTAAGAGTTCACAAGAAAGAAGAAGACATGAATGGGTGTTTTGTTTTGAGTCGAAGAAATTATTATTATTATTTTTTAAGGAAAAAGCGTATGGGTGTGATATATACTATTGTTAATTTAATTGGATCTTTCCCCTTATATTTTTCACGTGCTTCTTTTTTAAAACTATTTAAAATTTTGTTCCTATAATTAAAAGAGAATAAAATTACAAATATATTCACATAACTAAAACTCAAACCTAGGACTTGTACCAAGGGATATGCGCTAGAAACCAACTCCACTAAAATACACTTTTGTGTCAATGTGCTGCACATTGGAGTATATATACAGTCGTTGTCGTTATAATATTAATATATATTATATAAAGTAAAAAAATTTCGGGGGTCCTCAAAAATAGGGGGCTCTATGCAGTGGCGCAACTTGCACCATGCTAGGGCCGCCCTTGCCTACTAGTTCGGTTAATCCTAACTATCCCATATATGGGAGGACAGTAGGGAGCTCAAGAGAAACCTATGTGCACCATGTTCAAACATGGCTTACAAACTGCTCAGGTTACGTGACTTGGTATGACTATTGTATGAATCTAGATGGTTGCTCCTCATTGTTTGAACCTCATAGGAGCTCTTCATTTATGTAGATGGACACTAATCTAAATTGTAATCCAATGTTTAAACAAACTATGGATTTATGCATGGTTTATTCATTCCAATCAAAATTTTATTTTCAAACTTTTCATTAATGCGTATTACATACCACTTATATTTCATCATATGTATATCTTATTATTAGTAATTTTTGTGTTTTATTTGTTCAATACATTCATTGATAATGTACATAACATTTATGAAAATTTTACACCAAAATTACGTATTTCAATGCCTATATTTGTCATTTTTGTTAATTTTTTCCCGATACCTAAAACGATAAGGATATATTCCCCGAAATATCCGTAAATTGGAGGCCCGATATTATCTACGCAGCTGATATTTTAATCCTTGGCCTTACCTTTGTGAGGTGCAGAAATTGGATTCATCACTAACCATGTTAAGGGTAATGATTAAAATATCGATCTCGAGTATAAGAACCAGAAAAACCATTTGAGTTCCAAGAACTTGAAAAACCATTTGAGTTCCAAAAACCTGAAAAAGTTTCACTTGTTTATTAAATCTAAACTAGTTTGTGTACTTCCAAAAAGCAAGAGAGTGAAGTTTGTTTGTACAAATGGTAATAATTGCATATATAGGGTCAACTATTGCATAAATGGTATGCAATTGCATATCTTGGTTTACACAAGTCATTAAAAATGAATTTTATTCCAGTTTAGGCTTTAAAGAGACTACGCAATTGCACATCCCATGATACAAAAACTAGACAGCGGTGTGCAATTACCCTTTCCTCCATCTGTTTTATTTGCAATCAATCAACAACCAACATAACCAAAGGGCATTGGTTAATTTATGTTAATTCATTCTGCAAAGCTTCATAACTGATTCAGTTGCAAAACCAAGCTAAACCTAATAAAAAAATAAAATAATAAAATAAAAATTGAAATTGCAAACTAATTAAAATAAATATAATTACATACAATGATTGAAAATACAAAGTTACAACCTGCAAATCTATCCATTGTAACATGATATTTAGATCACAATAAGAATTACATTTAAAACTAAAAATACTCAAAATGAACTAAGTTATCTAGCACTTAGAAGATCACGAGCAACACAGTATAAGAAAACCTTTATGGGAAATCCATCCCTACTATATGACACTTTATGGGAACAACATATGGTGCATAACCATTTTCTCAAGTCCTCACTATATGGCACTTTATGGGAACAATGGTTGTTGTTCATTAAAAGCAGAAGACATCAGATTAAGAAATAAATAAAACTTCACAATTGAAAATCACCCTCAGGATGTTACTATGAAATTACTTGATTACTGTTAAATAACTTGCTGCTGGATCTTGTTCTTTAATGTAACCAACGGCAATAGACTAAACTAGCAAATATTTAGAAAACTTAGACACACAAGAATTATACTGGTTCGGCAGAACTTTTGCCTACGTCCAGTTGTGATTTCTCTAGGTAGAGAAATCACCGCTCCTTTGATTAATAATAGAGATTACAGAACTTTTGCAAACCCTAGAACTAATCTCAAAACTCTTGGCTGTCTCTGGCTGTTTTCTCTCCCTAAAATAAGCCTTGCCACACCCTATTTATAGATATAGAGTTGGCTTACATGTCCTAAGGCTGATTGAATTCCTATTCCTAAGTGGATTAGGAAATTACACTTATCCAAAACCAAATAGGCTTCTAGAAATCCAAACCTTAATTGAATAAGGAAAACTGAAATTCTTTCCTAATCCCTCTAGCACAAGAATACCTCTAATTTTCCTAAAACAATCCTAAACTAACTAGGACATATTTGACGAGCCAAAATCCTAACAATTACAAGATGTGGATGAAGCATTTGTGAATTGTTACATGAAAGAGTATCACTTGCGTACTCAAACCTTTTCCAAACATCCTATACATATCATGCATTTATCTGATACATCTCACATGGGAAAGAATGAACTCATTATAACACAATAGATTTCTACATGCCTATTCATGGAAACTATCCAACACCAATCCAGATTACCTGTTTATATAGCACCTGTGATACAGTTTTTTGAAATCAAGAGCACGCCAACATTACTTAATTGTCAACTCCAAATAAAAGAAAATCATAGAGCGTTTCGGTACACGGTACACTATCCACTAGAAGATCTGTAGATTGATAAATTAACCATCCACAAATGCCAAAACATCATGTAAGACCTAATATATTTTTAAAAAATAATTGAAGACATAAATAATAGGTTTTACTAGTCACTTGTAGGTGCCAAACTGGTAGAGGGAATGACCAAATTGAGAGCATGGAAATTAAAGCACTCAACAACTTGGGTTGTGTTTTCACTGGGCAACAATAGATGTTTGATACCACAGTTGAAGAAAACTATGAGCTTTAAGAAGTCAGCAAGAGAAAAAATAGTAGTTGCCTTGCACTGTCTTGAACCATATCCTGCCTTGCCCACCACAGAAAAGCACCCACACCAACAATTGCTACAAGCACTGCAAGGAGCTGGATGTGAAAAGGCATCAATTTGATTAGAGATATAATCCTACATGCTGATGTTAGAGTCAAAAATAAATGATTATATTAGACACAAAAATAGTATAAAACTACCAGTTTTTTTCAGAAATGTAAAGGAACTAAGATTTGTGAAAAGAACCCCAAATCAGTTGCTAAATGAAAGAGAGTACCCAAATGGAAACAATTGCATCCAAAATCCAACCAAGCTGCCCAGTAAATGAAATTTAAGTCAATCCAACAGCCAAAGCTAAATTACCCAGAACTCTAGCAGTAGCTCCGTCATCTTTCCCACCACCACCTCCACCACCATTAAACCCAAACCCCTGATTGAACCTCACCACAACCTCTCTTTTCTTCTTCTTCTTCTTCTTCTTCTCTAACTGGTATCTCAATGCTCTATTTTCTTTGATGACTAAGATGAATGAATTTTTTTTACAATAAAATGAAATCGTATGCTACGATTAAAAAAATATAATTTAATAGATTAGAGAACCTCATATTTATTTTTATTTTTAAAAAAGGACAAAGGAAAAATTGAAGGAAGAAAAATTCACAAAACCCAAACTTGATGCTCTAAATAAATTAAAAAATAAGAGAGAAAAAGCAAAGAAACAACAACCAAGAGAAGCCAGATGCGTGGGAGCTAAAATCTCCCAGCCAGATGCATGTGAATTGAAGTTGAATTTGAATGATGAAGAGGTATTGTCTTTGTCCCCAACGCTGATGGTGAAGCTTTGGCCTGAAATTTTGTTGTACCACATGAAAGTGATGAGGAGCTGCTTCTGGGTGAGAGTTTGGCTCTGTCTACCCACTTCCCCTTTCCCAGTCTCTACAATTCTCACCAAGCAAGAGACCCTCAAAGAAGAATCCACAAAACAGCACACAATCCCTCATTCCAACATCACTTAAATTCACACACACAGGCATGCACAGAGTTCTTTTTCTAAACATTTCTACTCAACTTGTGAACTATTTCAATAACAGAAAGCTGAAGATTTAGTAGATGAAACGCACCAATTCATTTCCCAGAATTAGAAAACAATGCAATAAATCCATGAAAATGAAAAGTAATCTATAAATTAGTAAAAAGGTCCCATTTGAGATGATGGATTCATATTTTCCTCAACATGAACACTCTAAATATTTCTCATAATTATCAAATTGACCAACTCACAATTCTCAAATTCCAATTTGATTGCTTTATGAATTTCCAATCCCAATACCTTAAATTTATCACAAAAGCCAAAATGAACAAGCAATAGAGAGATAATAACATACGGGCAATAGGAATTGGAGAAGATGGCAATCTTGTTGAGTAGATGACGTTCTGTACGAACGCCGAAGGCGAAGTCGAAGCTTCCGCGACGATGACGTTTCCCAACAATATCAGCGCCGCCGCCGCTGCTGCCGTGAACGCCGCACAACCCAACAACTCTAACGCATCTTCCCACGACGACACAACGATCGCAAGGTCCGAAAGGTCGACGCAGCTCTGAGACGATTCAAGCGAGTCCGACCCGTCCTCTGCCACCGGTTTGCGCCGTCGAGACTATCCAGCTCCACAATACAGAGGAGTAGGACGAGCGACAGTTCAGAGCAAGTTGAAGAATGAGTGCGTGGTTTTTTTTTACTTCTTTTAACCTGTTACCCAAAACAGCTGGTTCCCATTGTTTTTAAAAAAACATCACGTGCTTATCATGTGAGTGGCTATACCAGTACGGCACCTTCTACAGTGCACCAGGTGCACCCATGCACCATTTGTCCTTTATGATGCTTCCAGATTTTAAAAAAAATTGGTTACCGGTTATACAAGTTATCAAGTTTCCACTTTTTGAAAATGCAATTGCATAAGGGTCATGCAATTATGCCCTTCCTG